ACATGTTAACGTCTCTGGCCAGCAGGTCAGTGGTGATCAATTCTCTGCTAAAGCTGGTTGGAATTCCCTCATGATTACAACTCATTCCTTTTGATCTGTATCTTCAGGCATGGTGGAGACAGCGAAATTTCAGATTTGCAGCTTCTCAGTGAGCCAATCAACTTTCCTTTGAGTGTTGATGAAGATGGAGGCCAGGACTTCACGTAAGTTCACAGCATTTCGAGCTTTTACCTCTCTCCTTCTGTGTTGTAGAATTAATGGATACCATCTAGAGTCAATTCATTATTTTGGGGAAATATCCAAATGAAGTCCCTCATGAATTTCTTGGTCACCTCAAATATGTTTGAAGGCATGGAAGATGATAGTAAAACTAATCGGGTGTTGCTTTTGGAATACATCATAGAGCTTGTCCTTGAATCCACAGCTTAACATTTCATCAGCTTTATCTGATTCAAACATCTTGATGTATTTGACAGACAGGCATCTCCAGCTAAGCATATCAATCACATAGCTGGGATATGGATATGTGGTGATATGGGAGGCTTCTATTGAAAGCTTTTGCACCTGAGCTTACATGTTGGCACCCTTAATATAGGCAAGATAGGAGGCACCCAGATATCTTTTAGTGTCATGACTATCTTCTCTTATCTGTTGAGCTAATTCTCAAGTGAAGACCAGGCCAAAGACTGAGTGACCTTTAGATCCAATTTGATTTGTTACAAAATTGGTATGTCAAATGTGGCCAGATTCTCAGTCTCAATTGGCATAAACCTTGATCCAGAGAAGGTGGCTTGTAGCTGAGTGGTAGAGGGCATCTGTGTAGACGCCATGGAGGAGGGCCTTGGAGTTTCATGTCTTCACAACTGTCAACAGTCTCATTTTAGTTACTGTAGATGACGCTTGGGACTCCGTCTCATCAAGGCCACTGTGTCCTGACTGGGAATCCTTGCTCACAAATGTGATCCTTAGAAATTTTCTTGTACTTACAAGCACAAAAATTTAGGTTTTTCAAAGCTCTGTCATTTGAATAGCACCAATCTATTCAGTCTAGTTGAAAACCTAAACACAATGCTCTTAACATATGTCCATTAAAAATTTACAAATGACAGTTTTAAAGGAGTTAAAAATGTGCCACCCTCAAATATGCTGCTCTAGCATTTGACTATTTTGAATTAAAAGCACTTGCATGCACACACACACACACACACACACACACACACACACATACACTCACCAGCAGTTGCAAGAATATCATCCTTACCTCCATTCTGTTACTTTTCTTTAAATTTTAATTTATTTTATACATTTATTCACTGTACATATCTATAGCTTGTAAAATGTAAAATGAATTTACTCAACATGAATACTCTTGAAATTCCCATGTGAAAGACATCTTCTCGATACCAAAAGAAAAATGACATTCTTGTCATCAAGGGCAGAACATCAACGCTGAGAAAAAATGAGCAAACAAACCTTGTTAAACTATCTTTTATCTTCTAGTCACTTCCCTACCTGACTAACTACCATAGTCCAAGTCCCTTTGCCCTATCACATTTAACAATTTTTTGTTCTTTGTCCAATTCTGTATATAAGTAATTGACTCTAGCTGTTTCTTTGGAGCTTCATTTTCTTATAAGGGCTCCTAGGTCATGTAGAGCTTGAATAAATATGTACATACTTGACTCCTGCTACTCTGTCTTATGTCAATTTCATTGCTGGGCCAGCTGGGACCCTAAGAGGATGAAGGTGGAGTTTTGAATTTCCTTCTTTTCCATTGATTTTTTCCCTAGTATAAATCCTTTCATGTCAGTGTGTACCCTAAAAATCTTCTAATGAGTTAAAATCTATTTATATATAACATTGACATCATTTTGTATTCCTTGAGGACATTCCCTAAATTCACAACAATATGGAGCTTGAAATATTTCGCTCTTCACATTCCTACTACAATGTTGCGATCACTTAAGAGGCAGTGTACGGGAAGGGAGATGTCTTCAGATGGAGAACGTGTCTTTACTTCACTCTTGTTAACTTATGGAATCTAGACATATTGCTCAGATTATTCAACATCTTTTAGCTTCAATTTCCTGGAAAGGTTGAATTAAAAAAAAAATCACCTTCGAAGTCTTTTTATTACTAGAGTTTCGTATTGTTTTAATTCTAAATAAAGATAGGATATTTAGTTCGTATTCTATAAAGTAGTCAAAGTCAAGAATTGTGCCAATATCTGGCACACAGGGGGTGTTCAATAAATTTACTGAATGAGAACAATTGGACATGGAACTGATATTCACACAGTTCATCAGTCAATGAACACATATTCATGTGTTGTCTTAGTGCTAGCCCTCATTCTAAGCTGGGGGAAAAACAGTGGACAGACAGAGAACGAGGGTCTGATTTCGTGTAGCATGCATTCTAGTGGGAAAAGACAGATAAAAATACAGAAAGATGTGCATTCAATATAATTGTGAAAGACGGTATTTAAGAACTAAACATAGTAAAAAAGACTTGACAAATGGTTGGGTTGTGCAATTTGAGAAGGCATGTCCAGTAAAAACATCTGTGAAGTGACATCTGAGCAGCTAATGCAAAGACCTTGAGGCAGGAACATTTAGAGAATGGAAATGGCATGGAACCCTTGGACGGCAGTGATAAGGCAGAGGCTGGAGAGTTAGTGGGGAGACAGAGTATGAGACTCTTCCAAATCAGAGTAAGGATTTTAGATTTTACCCTGTTTAATGTAGGTCGTTAAAAGATTTTTAAGTACACAGCAACAAGAAAGAATTTATAGTAGAAAAATATTTCTGGCTCTGTTGGTTATATCAAGAATGGATCCAATTGCTCTGTTTACATAATAACCTACTCTCATCCAGCATTTTATATTTCTCTTGTTTGCTTATTTTTCCCTTTTAGTCCTTTTCCCCATCCCACATACTTTATATATTTACTTACTGCTTATTGTCTGTGGTTCCCATTAGAATGCAAATTCTACAGTGGTCAGGATTTTTGTTTTTGTATCCCCTGAAGATAGAAAAGTTCCTAATACACAGTATGCTCCTAATAAATATTATTGAATTAACCAATAGATTTCTAAGGGGAGATAGGGCTCAATTAGAACACAAAGATCAGATATATAGCCACAGTAAAAATCCATGTGGAAGCAGGGCCAGCAGGTGTCATAGTGGTTAAAGCACTGGACTCTCAAATGGCCCACCATGGATTTGAACCCAGCGGCTTGAAAATCATTTTGGGTATATGTGCATAAGTACTCAAAATTCTGGGAGGAGAATGGAAGAGAGGGGATTGCAGTGCAGCCATTTCCACTGGGGATGAGTTTTCACTTTTCCTCTAACTCTAGCTCTCCATTTTTCTCTGGCAAGCACATGTGCCCTGTGGCAAAAGCTTAAAAAAATAAAATCTGTGTAGGGATATATAATGTTTTGGACAAGCACGTTTGAAATAAAGATAAAAATGTCAAAAAATTAAAACTTTATCAAACTTTATTATTTATGAAGACTCAAGAATGGGGTTCCTAGGTTGTTAATTAACAACTACATAAGACTGGGATGTTATTTTATGAAATAGAAGCATGAAGGGGAGATGCCTATGTTAGTGAAGAAGTTAGAGGAAATCAAGATGCTCATATGTTAGACAAATAGAAGTATCAGGTACATATATAACCTGATACTTATATATATACATATATAGCCTTATACTCAGATAAGAGGTCTTTGAAAGATACTAATTTGATAATCATCAGCATAAAAATGGTACCTAAAACTACTGATATTGATGAGTTTATCTAGAATAAGAATCACAACAGTGCACTCTTATATCTGATTTCATTTTCCATTGTTTCCGTTACCTGAGGTACAATAAGATATTTTGAAAAAAAGAGAGAAAGAGAGAGAGAGAGAGAGAGAGACCATATTCACACAAAATTTAATACAGTATATTTTTCTAATTGGTCTACTTTATTATTAGCTATTATTGTTAATCTCTTACTGTGCCATTCTGTAAATTAAACCTCACCATAGGTGTGTATGTACAGTAATGTATGTAGGATTCAGTACTGTCTGTGGTTTCAGGCATCTACTGGAGTTGTGGAGTGTATCCCTGTAGGTAAAGGAGGGATAATATACACTGAGAAAAGCAGAGGGCTCATGACCAAGCGATGAGTCAGTCTAGAGTTAGTCTAATATTTTAGTGGGGAGGACTGCAGAGTAAATATGTAAGAACACTTTGATATAGTAAGTATGGATGGCTCTGTGGAAGGAGCACAGGACAGGGAGTGAAGAAAGACATAAACAGGTTGAATGCAGCTGAGAGGCAAATGATGAGGACATAGAAGTGTCATTTGGTTTTTGGCAAGACCAGGGCAATTGGAGTGCTTAGAATGCAAGTCTGCTGAGACATGGTCGAAAGTGAATCAGAAAGAAGAAAGAAAACAGTTTTCATTGTGAATAAAGAGAAGAAACATGACAATGGGTAAAGACAGATATATTGATCAGGAAAGAGGGGGACAGTTACGGGAAGACATTTTTCAGCTGATAGTGGATAATGGGAGATGTGCTAGGTACAACTGTTTTGAAGAGGTGGTGTTTTCATAAACCTCAGTAAGCAAGGCTACTCGATTACATTATTTATCAAGATATCTTCAACTCTAATGACTCCCGTGTTGGACGGAGACCTCAGAGTTGAGATGATCTGACTCTCCGCCCCTGCGGTTTACTGTTTTGGGGCTTTGCCTAGAATCTTGACTCTTTTTGGTACTTGCCATATTACTCTCTGAGCCTGTATTTGTTTTCTCCTAATTGGGAACAATAATAATATCCACCTTTTGGTGGACATTAAGTGAACAATATCTATATGGATCGACTTGAATTCTTTGTGTTTGAAGTGTGTAACTACCTAATTGGTCAACGTGCAGTTTTTATTTTGTGCCCTAAGGCAGTGCTGCACCGTAAGTACCCCGAAGAAAGAAATTACATTTTACCCACCTTTGTATCCTCGGTCTCCAGCAGTGTGCTTTTCCTCAGAGTTGGTCCTCATAAATGTCTGCCAAATTAAATGAAAAGCTGAAACACGAAGCAGCTTCCTGTAAATTGTAGACCATGCCAGAGTTAGACATAACTACATTCATTCTGGCTTTGTAGCCCTGCCCTTGATACTTTTAGGATGGGGAATAGTCTTACAAAGGATCTATTTGGCACTTCAGTGAGAGGAGCTGCTTTGGAACATGCATGTGTTCTATCATATCTGCCCTAAGTCACACAGCAGTGGTTTAGCTTCCGATTTCCTTAACTGTTTCATTATCATTCATCTATGACTGAGCAGAATAATTTGTTGTAATTTTACCAATAACAATGTTTTGATATCAGCATTTCACTTCAGCCCTGAGAGTTTCTTAATAAAGGCTTTTGGGTTTGATCTTGAACATTTCAGTCCTTTTTTTTTTTTTTTTCCTCTTTTTTTTTTTTTTGGAGAGATTTTCACTGTAGGGCGTGTGTGCTCGCCAGACAGACAGAGAGAGACATAGAGACAGAAAGCGAGAAATCACCCCCCAGGGGGGATGGTCACGCCACAATCCCTTCTCCTCCATTCTCCTCTCGGGATCTTGGGCATGCACGCACACGTGCCCGGCGTGAGTTTTAAGCCACCGGGTCCAGGACACGAACCACGGTCGACTACGTGGGAGTCCAGCGACATAGCCATTACGCTAACTGCTGGTTCCCAACATTTCAGTCCTTTATCATGTGTCTTAAATTAGTTCAGTGCAGCTAATAAGGATTCCTGGAAGCCATCACGGAGCCCTGGCACACATGACCCAAAACTGTGCTTTCCAGTGCCTAAACTCGTTAGAATTAGCCCTAAAAAATAGCCATGTGCTCATGTCATATTTTGTCATATTAACTTTCCTTCCTTGCCCCTTCTGAGCTCTCCTCACAAACTCACCCGTTAAAGTATTGAGTAGTTTAAGATCATAAAATAAAGGTTCAGCAGGTATAATTTCTTCAGCCTGTAGAGACCGTCTGTGGTTTTATTGTGTCTTGCTCATACAAATGCATGGATCTCTATTAACAAATTAGATTTGGATTGGATTAGTTTAGATTTAAGAGAAAGGATCTTTTCATTTAAGTGGGAATAATTGAAATTAATGAGATGAAATATTTAAATTCAGCATTTATCTTTTGCCCATAGAAAGGCCTTTACATGTACCAAAATCAAGTTTTTTTTTTTTTTTTTTTTTTTAAGCAATGTTTTCCAAGAATCAGAGAAAGGACACTTACTGTCTTTGAGTGAATATTGACATATCTAAAAAATATTACAGAATTTAGTGGGGCCAGATTATGTATTAAAAGATAAAAATATAGGTCCCGGATCTATACCAAATCTTGGCATTAGTTCACTGTGGTTCATTAGGTGGAATTGGTTTTCAAAGAATAATATGTACATGGGATAAAGACTCAGTTATCTCCTACATATCAGATTTATGAGGTTGAATAGTATCTGGCAATGAATATCAACCCCTTAAAATATTCATACTATTTAATTTTACCTCTGAGGACAAACCCTAGGAAAAATGGACCGAATTGCTGCCACAGCTTCAAAAACCACAACCAACCTATCTGTCCCCCAAGTTTCAGAAACATTTAATGTAGCAATAGTTTAAAACATTAAAAAAGATAAGAACAAAGTCCATGGTCACAATGGTGACAGTTAGGTGAAATACTAAGTAGCCACTACAGGGTGTAGCAGAAAGAAATCCGCCAACATTTATCAGTGATTATGTCTGGGAATTTATATTTTTTTTCCTGTAACTTTGTATTTTTAATTTTTTTTTCAATGGACAAATGTTACTTTTATCATCAGAAAAAAAGTGGAATAAAGTTGTGTATGAATAGCTGACTTCAGTGATGATAACTTATCCTCTAACCCTGGTCACTCACTGGTGAAAGCCTCTTGATGTGTTTCTCATCTGAAAGTGTTTCTTGTGTTCTTTAAACCCTTTGATCCCATTCGCTTTGAAAACAGTATGACTTTGCAAGTCCAGGATTTACAGCTCTCTCTTAGATGAATACTTTTCAGACGCGATTTTGTTTTTTAATCAGGTGAATTTTGTAAAATGTTACTATCTTTTTATATTAAGAAATATATTTGTGCTACAGGTTTAACCGTAAGCCAGATATAAAGTTTGGTTTCGCTGCTACTAAGCTTATTAGTATCTGATGTTATTAGGTTGATTTTTTTATTGTAAGTTTCATTATGAAAATGGCCTAACTTTTCTTGAAAAGTGAAGTTTGGCTGAGATTGAGACTGTGTTCTACGTGGCAAAATTATTTATAGTCACCTATTTCTGAAAAAGGTTTATGATAGAATTGATAAATATATTGTTGATATGCCTCACAGAAAGCCGTACATGATGTACTCACTTAAAGAATCTTCATTACATAATAATAGTTATTTCATCTTTCAAACCTCGATTTATTCATTTATGTATTTATCAAATATGTAGTGAGCACTTATTATGTGAGAGATACTAGGGAAGGCACTAGATTCAATATTCTGATGTATTTTGGTATATAAAAGTTCTAATCCATTAGGTGGAAAAAAACCCCAGAAAACAAATTAAATAAATATTTTGATCATCCATATAAAAACATATTTAGCCATATACACATGGGCATTTTTGTCTGTTTTGGTTTCCCCAGCTTCTGAAATGATCTCTTGTAAATAGCAAGTGTTGAATAAGTATTTGTTAATATATGAATCGGTGGGACCTGACAGGTGGTGTGGTGGTTAAGGGTATTGGACTCCCACGTGGCCAACTGTGGCTCGAGTCCTGGACCTGGTGTCTTTCTTTCTCAGTTTCCCACTCTCTCTGCCCCTCTCTGATCAAATTAAAATAAACAAATAAAAAAGCTAAATAAAATAATTCTTTAAAAAATATATGAATAAGTGAATTATACTCATCATGGAGTTTTAAGAGACACATGGAAAACAATGAGACATTTTGTCAAAAGGGCTGGAAGTGGGAGATGGGCAAGATGAATTTCAGGGGTAGCCCACTGACTTGTGTCTAAATTCCCAGAAATCTCACTCGTAGGTATCTACCTAAGAGAAATGAAATCACATGTCCAAAAAAAAAATTTGTGAAAGAATTTTTACAACAAAACTTCATTCAAAATAGATAAAAATATAAACAATATAGATGTCCTATAAGAGGAGAATGGATAAATAAACTCAGGTGTATTTTTACATTAGAATATTACACAGCAATACAAAAATGAACTACTGATACCTGCAACATGTTTTTCAAAAACATTAAGAGAAAAATCAGACACACAAATACACAGTAATTGGCATAAAATTCCCATTTGTATGAAGTTCAAGAATAGGTAAAACTAATATGGTGATAGAAATCAGGAAGTTATTGTTTGAGGATGGAGAGAGGAAAAATAACATGGGATAATGGAAATATTCTGTTTTTTTTTTTGAGGTGTTATGGGGGGACTTCAGAAAATTCATGGAGAAATGTAATTAAAGTATAAGTTTATTTTGGTACAAAAAATTTGAAATATATTCTTAGTTTTTAATAATATACATTTTCCATTAACTTTTAGAAGACTCCTCATAGGTGTATACAACTGTCCAAACTTATCATAATAAATACCTAAGGTCTGTGCATCTTATTTTATCTAAATTATATAGTAATTTTTAAATAATTTTTTTTTAATTATTGAGGGGCACACGCACTTAAACAGCAACCCCCCCTTCCCAATGGGTCATGGTCACCCTGCGATCCTTCTTCCTCCATTTCTCCATCTCTTCAGAATTCTGGGCACTCATGCATATGCACCCTGCATGTCTTTCAAGCCACCAGGTCTGGGGCTGAACTGCAGTTGGTCATATGAGATCCGGGTCTCCATACACAGTACTTAACCACTGTGCTACAGGGTCAGACCAGTAAAATACTTTGAGAATTAAAATATAAAATTAAGTTCTAGTAATAAATATTTACTAAGCACCTATATTTCAGCTACTGCTTAAGTGACTAGAAATGTAAACATGAATAAGAAATGATGAATTCATAATCTGGAGAGGAGAATAGATGTGGAAAAACCTTTTACTTACCCAAAACTTTTTAAAAGTATGTTTCCATACTTTTCCATGAATTACAGTTTAGAATTGTATAATAATTGTAGGTAAAAAATTTTGCTGTTGTATGAAAAATACTCAGTCTGACAAATCCTGTAACCGTATTGTGGTAGACAGCCTTCAGCATGGCTCCCAGTTGTACTCCATCTTTGTGGAGACCACACCTACAATGGACCAGGTTTGGTCTCTGTGACCAATAGCACGTGGCAGAATTTTCTGCCAAACCTGAAGGTAAGTTATTTTCAACGTTGGGAGTATAAAAACTGGCTTCTGTGTGAGGTGCTCTCTTATTCTCTGCCTTAATCTCTTTGACTATCTTATCACTCACTCTGGGAGAAGCCAGTTGATGTGTTGTATACACTTGATTGGCCATAGAGAGGCCCATGAAGAGGAGTGGAGATCTGTGACCAGCAGTCATCAAGGCAGTGGGGTCTGCCTACAATTGTGTGAGTTACTTTGAAGCACACCTTCCCCTAATCAGGCCTTCAGATGAGACTGCAGCCCTGGCCAACTTCTCGACTTCAACCACCTGGAAGACTTTTTTTTTTTTTTTGGCTATAGGGTGTGTGTGCTTGCCAGAAAGACAGAGAGAGAGATAGAGAGACAGAAAGCGAGAACTCTCCCCTCTTGGGATCTTGGGCACACATGCACACACGCCTGGCATGAATTTAAGTCACTGGGTCTGGAACTTGAACTGCGGTCAACTACATGGAAGTTCAGCGACATAGCCATTATGCTAACTGCTGGTCCCCACCTGGAAGACCTTGAAGCAGACCAATCACCTAAACTACTTCTAAATTCCTAAGCTGCAGAAATGGTAAGACAATAAATATTTATTATTTTAAGTTACTACATTTTGGGGTAATTTGTTACATAGCAATAGACAACTAATACATATATGATCTTTTCAAAATGTAGAAGACATGAGTTTATGGATTAGTGAATCATTCCTGATTGTAAATTAAACACCTCTATTTTTCTGTCTCACTGAAATACTAATTAGCCAATGACTTTTTTAAGAACCATAAAGATTTCTAAAAGCTCTGTACACTTTAATTCCAACTTATATCCAGTGAATAGTTTAATAACTCCCAAATCTAGACCTTTGAATGAGAATTATAGTATATATTAATCTAGCTATAAAACTGAAACATGCAAAACCATAATTTAATAAAATTTAATTGCTTCTAAAGTATGAAAGGTCAATTTTGTATTATTGAATTTACTAATGAAAATTAGAATGAATTCCAATTAATATTTAGAAATAATCTTCACTTTGAACTTCAAGATGTATAATATAGTTCCAATTAATTATAGCTTAGACACCATGATTAAATTTCTTAAAAAATTTTTAGGGATGATTTAAGCTGATATTTAAATTTAGGTGACAGAACATGAAATTTTAGAATAACTGAGATTATTGCTTTGCCATTTGAAGATGACCAGACTTTATTCATTTTTGGATCTTCAGATTTTAAAATTATACCACCAATGACAGGTAATATTAATTAATCCAAACTCATTTCTGCATTAAGAAAACAGATCATGGTGACTGTTCATTGGAAGAATATAATGTAATGAAAAGTATAAACGTTCTCCTGATGTTTCTCTCTAGCCAAAATGAAACCCTAAAAGATGTAGTATTCTGGCTTGAGAATTCCTATCAGGGTTTCTCTCTTGAGTTAGGATAGCTAAAGGAAATGTTATAAAAACTTAAATGGGAAATGGAATTATTTTTTATTTATGATAGACTGGAAAGAAAGTCACTAAGGTAATGTGAAGTTTTATATAATTCTTCATTTGGCTCTAGACCACTGATTCTCAAAACATCCATATGCACTGCAATTATAAGGAGGCCT